GTCTATTAATAGCTATAGTAAGCTAAAACTGTATAGCATAGAGATCTATACATGTATTAACGTGTACTTACAATACATTATATAAATTTATGTTAGAATCTTTACCTACACTACTATTAGCTGCCTTTACTAGTTTTTTAAGACACTTAAAAAAATAAAGCAGTAACTATGTTTTATATAATTTAATTAAAGAATAAAGATAGTTATACTAGTAAATGCTTATTACTAGCTTTAAAAGTTTATAAAGCTTAAGCTTTTATTTAATTAGTGCTACTTTTATAGCATAAGTATATTAAATTAGTAGATTAAAGCTTAGTAGTAGTAAGTTTTAAAAAGCCTTTTTTTTATTAGTAAGTTAGTATTTTATATAATACTTAACGTATTCCACCACCAAACCCGCCAAACCACCGAACCTGACAAAATCTCTTGGCATTGCAAACACCACGTACAAGACGCAATGTCTAAACAACACAAGACTATACTAACTTAGCAAGAAGGCAGAATTGTCCTTGCGCTTTAGGCCTACTGCTTACGCTAATTTAAACGTGTATAATAAGCTATAGCAGCTTTTAACATGCCTTATTAGTAGCTTACTGCTTAGCTTAATAGAATTATGTTTTAACCTACTATATAACTAAATTACTAGAAACTTACTGCAACTAAAGAGTAGATAATTATATAATATATTCTTAACCTTAATTTGCAAGGATTTACGCCCTAGCTGTGTAAGGTAGTAGATATAGTAAACAGACTATTAGCTGCGCGTAGTAAGACACTAGTAGGGACAAACTAGCCTACACAGTTTATGTCTTGTACAGAGAAGCTTAAGATAGCGTTTAATTAAGCAAAGGACTACTAGAGAATACTCTAAAAAGACCTAAAGTTAATTATAAAGTAGTTTAAGCTTATATAAGACATAATAGTAAAATATAGTGTTTATAATAATAATATTTATAACTTTAACAAGACTAGCTTCTAGATAGGTATAATTAGCACTATAAAAGTTGTTATAGGTTTAGAAAGACATATAAAGCCTATTCTTACACAGCTAGGTAACTAGGAATAGGTTACTATAATCTAGAGCATCTGCGCTGCTAGCTACACTACTCTGCTATTTATTATTTACAAAGGACACGTCTACATCTCTACTTAGTATAAAAAGATGTTAATACTATGTAATTAGAAGCTATTAGTTTTTAAAAATAGCTAAATAAATAACATGCTTAGTCTTAAGTAGTTAAAGCACTTTAATAAGCATATAAAGACGCGTTAGGTAAGGGTATATAAGCTGCTTATACTAAATAGCTATAAGAGCTACTTAAACTAAAATTTTAAAAATTATTGCTTTATATAAAAGATCTTTACGCTTTATATGCCTGCGCATTTATTACATATCCTCTAGCTACTTAATGTAGTGTGCTTCTTGCTATTAAAGCTTAAGTACTCTTAGCATATATAAGACTTAGCACGCTAACATGTGTAGCATGTTAATAAAAAACACTTTCTTTTAGCTTTTAAAAACACATTTTTAGACATTTTTATGTACAATAACTGTAAAAAGGCTTTTAAGGCATCTAGACTAGTTCCTATTAACATGTAGGTAGTCCTTAATTATCTTAACATGCAGCTGCGTACCCTACTACTAGGACCCCTACTAGAAACGCTATAGCAATTAAAGACCCTAAGTAATTTATATAAATTTAGATTATAATTAAAGCTTATATGTAATTTCTTTATATAATTACTAATAATAGCATAAGAAAGCTTTTTACAGCTTATAAAAAAAGCTAAAGAGATGCTACATAAAAATATACTTATAAAGGCGTGTATATAAAAGCTTAAAGAGTAATTAGTAGACATAACTAAGCATAAAGGGCGTAAAAGAAAGCAGATCTAGTAAGGTAGCACAATAGAGTATAGAACTGCAGTAGCGCAGGTAGCTGCTAAGGCGTCTGTAGTAGCTTAGCAATTAAAAAAGGCTTGTAGTAGTAGTAATTAAGAAAAAGCCTAACTAGCTCTACAGCGCTGTAGGAACTGTAGGGAGACTAGGCACAACGCTTGTACATGTAAAAAGGATAAAAAAGAAGCACTAGAATTAGATGTAGGCATGTTGTACGTAGGTTCTCTATTTAGTTGTGAATAAAATCAGAGTTTTGTATGTAGTGTTTGCAATGCTAAGAGATTTTGTCAGGTTTAGTGGTTTGGCGGGTTCGGTGGTGGAATACGTTATTACTTTATTTTACTTTAAGTAGAATTACTTTTACTACTTTTAAACTTAAAGCTTTTTTTTAAAAGATAGCTTAGCTAATTAGCTTACTATTTATACTATATATATTTTTATACTTTATAAGAAACTATATAGCTTTATATAACTATAGAACACATATTTAATTTAAAGGTAAAAGAACTATTTAAATAGTGTAGTTAAAAAGCTTTTTATACTTTATTACTATTCTAAAGCTTATGTCTAGAACTAGGCTTTTTTATTTAATGCTAATTAGCTTTATATAATTAAAAGAAAAGATAATAGTTAGAATATAAATGCCTACCTCTTATAAAATACACTTTAGTAGTGCAATAGAGTACTAGATTTGCTTAGATTTAACAGCGTAGCTGCAGCTTACTCTAACTTTTAAGATTATATAATACTATATCTAGATGTTTATTTTTAGCTTTAAGTAAAAGCATAATACTATATCTAGAATAGTTTTTAGCCTATACTGTCTCTACTTAAGTTACTTATTAAAGTGTAAAATTAGTAAGTAAAGTTTTATATAATATGCTTAATATAAAAGTATCTAATTTAACTAAAGTAATTAAGATATAGTTTAAAATGTTAACCTTAAAACTAACTTTAGTAAAAAAATGCTTATTAATTTTAATCTAGCTTAGTAAATTTATATAAATACAGTAACTAAGCATTTATTTTTTTATAGTATATTTAAATTTTTTATAGTTTTTTTTTAGTTTTTTTTTAGTTTTTTTTTTATACAACATATAATTTATTATTACTATAAGTGCTTAAAATAAGTTTTATTTTACTATAAAATAGTCTTATAGTAAGTAGTCTACTAAATATAAGTTTTATTTAGACTATAGTGTTTAAATTTAACCTCTTACACCTATATAAATTATATAAGATAAGGAAGAGATAATCTGTCTAAAGAATACACTTAAAAGTGTAAAAAAAGAAATGTTTATCTTTTTTATATAAGCTACTTTATATACACTAGTAGAATTAGCATGTTAGTAGTTAATCTAGTATACATCTTTACTTTTTATTTAAGGCTATATAACAGCTAAGCTTTTTATTTTTATAATCCTTTACTTTATATAATATAAAGTAATTAATAAGTGTAAGTAAATTAATAGTATTAAACAGCTATATATAATACCCTCTTATATATTAGCTAATATCTAATACATAGTAGATTAGACCTAGATACAGCTTTAGAACACGCCTCTTATAAGCTATACTAAGTTTATTAAAAATAGCCTTTTTAAAAAGCTTATATAATTTAATTTTTTAATTACTAAAAGCTATTCTAAACTATATTTTATTATAAATATTAGTAAAGAGTATATTACACATTTTTTAAAAAGTACTAAAAATTATAATATAATTAAGAACTTACTAAAAAGTAAATACTTTAAAAAAAGTAACTAAAGTATAACTTTATACTTAGTATATAAGGCAACTATAGTAGCTTAGAATAAGATCTTTTTATATAAACCCCTTACTAAGTAGACTAAGGTTAAGAAGAAAAAAAAGCTAGTAAAAATAAAAAAAATAAAAAAAAGCTTTTATATAATTATAAGTAAGCACTGTTTTAGCTATTTAATGTTAATTCTTAAGTGCCTTATTAGCTTTACAGTATTAAAAAGTAGTACATTTTATATAATAATTTAATTTATTTTTTTTATTTACTAGCTTAGTTTAGTTTTACTATTTAACAGCTACTTATTTTAGTTACTGCGCAAAGGTATAGGCTTTAACTAAGTACTATAGACATTTTTATATAGCTAGGTGCTATAAATAACTTTTATAGCTATAGCGCTTTACTGCTTTTAAAAAAAATATTATATATACTTTAAGCTAAAACTATTATATTATTAGCTAAAGCCTTAGCAGGTTTATTTTTAATAAGAATAAGCTACTACTATAAACTATTACTAGCACTACTAATTCTTAAGTTATAGCCTAAACATAAAGGTTTACTAGCTAGCTTATTATTACTCTTTTCTTTTATAAAGTAGTAACTAGCATAGTTATGCTATTTATAATTACTACATGCTCTGCTAAAGTGCCCTTTAGCGCAGCAGCACTCTAGGAACAGTTGTGGGCCTAAGATAGCGCTATAGCATGCGCTGCACAGGTTGTCCACTGCCTTTTTACAAGATTATATAAGGATAGTGTTAATATATAAAGGCCTGTGTAAAGCTATTTAATAAGAGAATATACTGCTATATATAGACTCTACATCCTGCCCTAGAAGGGCTAGCAATGCACAGGCCTATAGACTATAAGCTAGTAGGGCTAGCTGCTGCTGTCCTACATATAGAACAGAATTAATATTAGCACTAGCTTAGTTAGCAGCAGCAATAGCAGCATTATAAAGAATAAAAGCCTTATTTTAAGTATTAGCTTTGTATAATAAGAGTAATTAAAATACTATAGGCTTAATGCTTACATTATTATTATTGTTATTATTATTATTGTTACTGCTGCTGCTGCTGCTGTTGCTGTTGCTGCTATTGTTACTATTATTACTGTTATTGTTGCTGCTACTGCTGTAGTAGTGGTGGATGTGGAAGAGTAGTAGTAGCGGTAAGTATCTACAATTATTGTACAACGCTGTAGTAAAGGTAGTTGCTATAAAGAGCAGTTGCAATACAGTTATGTAAAACAACTCTTTACTCCTTAGATCTTTAAAAAACATTGTATAAATGCGTTATAGTATGTTTTGCCTAGTAAAATACTATAGTGTTTTATACCTAAAATGCTCCTAAGCAATTGGCGATTAGTTTTTTCCCTTCACCAGCTAACAGTCCGCCGTACTCAACTGTCCTGGGTCCAGAACGCATAGAATGGCGACAATGATTTAACTGTGGCTGACCAAGAATTTGAAATCGAAGGCACTCAGGCGCTAATATCCATTAGCCCTTCTTTTAATCGTGTTGCGGGAGAAATGATCCCCACATTTCTAGAATTTCGCATCGCTGATTTTCATACCGTGTGGCTCAGAACAGCCAGTAATACTGACAGGATGGTTATCATACTGGATGCCCAATTCGGCGCTAAGGAGCTGCGTATATCTGGAATATTAGCACGGCTTGCCTGGTTGCACGCCTAGGTGGCTATAGCAACACCTGCTACTCGGCCAAATTCTCGTCCGCCAGCGAGAAAATGCTGTCTGCTTCTTTCTATAATATGGTTAGGATTTGGGAGCTGGATCTTCCTATTCAATCTTCGTCCCCAGAAGATTGATTCAGGGTTAAATGGATCAGAACCTTTGAAGGTCACATAGTACGCCACAAAAACCGTAATATCGAGAGCAGAGACGCACATGATAGGAACCTACAATCGTAGGATTCTGTAAATGACTCTCTGAGTATCTGTCAAGATGAAGTGTGAAATACACTGGAAGAGGGTAAACTTGCTCTTCTGGTAGGGCAACCATTAAATGAAGCTCCACATATAAACCCTGTCCGACAGTCTAATTACGTCACCTTCTGCTGCCTAAACTAGTGGTTGCCTTAGGTCACATGACAGGTTCACCTAGTACTGTATAATCCTGTAGTTACCCTTCTTTAGTAATCAATCCAGTTCCTCATGCCTCTGGTGCTCTTCCAAGCTTCACAGAGTTAGCAGCTGAAATGGGTAATGGAGACTGGTTCCACGGACCCGCTGAAGCATTTGTGCACGCCGTATGCATGCGTCTAAGACGGCTGGTTTCAAGGGTATCGGGTGCGGAGTTAGGATGCAAAGGCATAATGGTTCGAGACGATGACTAAGCGCAAGAGCACGAGTGGGTATTGACGGAATTCTTAAAAGCAAGTAAACAAGACCAGTTTCGGAGATTCACTACCACATTATGGAGAAGGCTCAGAAGATGGTCGATGTCACTCGGAATTCATAAGCTGCTTTTCGGTAAGGTAGGGCATGGAAAATCCGGACGATGGCAAGGTAACGTTACAGTCCGGCATTCTCGCCAAAGCTTCCTGTCGGTTCCCCGTTCTTCTGATCGGACAGTGTCTTGCGAAGCTAACTACGATTCGGCATGGTATTGAGCTGTTCGTTAGACGAAGTTGCGAGGAGTGAGATATCATCCCGATAGGAGGAATGAGATTCTTTTGCAGTTCAGCCCAAATCATGGAATAGTTCAGATGTTATGGTCACAACCGTACGTCGTCCTTAAAACAAAATTAACAACGACTTTGGATTTCAGCAGAGGGGAGAGATAGCAACTTGCTAAGCATAAATAGATACAAGAACCAATAGTACACCTGGACTGATTGGGCACCCGTGATCTTGCAAGGTCTAATCATTAGACGACTAGCAATCACGACTTACCAGGGTAACCGGAGGTATCCATTCCAAATAGCCACATCGTGCTGTTGGCCAACTTTGTACCCCTGCACCCGTTGAAGGAGGAGATAAGGAGCTGGAAGGGATTTAATGCCCCTCTAGTATTATGCATGCAGCAGCTCTCTGCTGTTATGACAATTTCCATTATTGAATGGTAAGTAGCTGTTTAATTTTTCGCATTCATCACGACGTTTGTTTGACAATAGCCAGCATAACCAAGAGTCTTTTTCGAAACAAAGCTACCCGTGCCGCATGTCGCACGTGTCTCACGCGATATCATACCCATGTACTGCACTATTCACTCATTAGGCATAGCTCCTATCTCGTACAGTATATAGTCAGCTTAGAGCTCTATCGAGCTCCTCAGACCTTACAATACACTCATTCCACCTTGTTTGGATCTCGATCCCTTGTCGAGTCGTTTGCCATATGTCCCCTCCTCAGCTCATGCAAGAGTTATGAGCCCGGAGTCGCGCTCCTGACTAGTCCTCTAGTCACCACTGCACAGTTAGCTTTTGCATCTAGCTTCAGGGCCCC